AAATAAAATTAAATATAAAAAAATTTAACTATTCACACAAACAAAGATTTCATTGCTTTGAAGTAAAATCCTTTGATTAGGCTGTAAGCAACTTCTACAGTATATAAAGCATGTTTTCACAGAATGACTTACATCCTGTTGTATTTAATCGAATTTTCCAATTTTTCCAAGTATAAATTCACCCCTGGTTTATCTAATCATCTTATCTGTTAGTTGCATATTGAAGATCATCTTACAGGCAGCATTTGAGCAGGAGCAAAATAGTGCCAACAATTTGATATTCAGCTGAGGACCTAAGCAAACCAGTGAGGTTTTTTATCACATAAAAAAAAAAAACTATAAAGTTATATGAGCTATAAAGTACTGGCAAGCACACTAAATTGTGGGGGACAAGAGACCCAGATTATCTACTTCTTAGTTTGTCTTTGTCTTGTAACATTAGCTCAAGACAGGAACAAAGTCGGAAAGACATGCACTGTCACTGCTGCAGGGAGTGTGAGAAGAGGACTTGGAAAATGAAATTAGGCACGCGAACAATACCTTTACATTGTCTGACAGTCAAAGAGATTTAAATTTGCATGACTTCATGCTGGCTTGTCTTTATATTGTAACCATGCAAGACATGTAGTATTATAAGTAGCTGAATTTAATCCACATTTATGTATTTGACAGATTTTAGTTATACAATTTATCAGTTCATGTATTTCCTGGGAATTGAACCAGTGACCTTGGTGTTGCTAGTGCTATCCTCTACAGTTTGAGCTACAGGAATTTGCATTGAATACTTTTAGATAAACCAAAATAAATAAATACAAATTTCTTAATCTTTTCTTAATCTTTTGATATATTCTGCACATTATGATATCATGCCTCTATAACATGCATGAAATGATTTTATATATTTTATCATGAGCAGAATGAATTTTGTCACACGTTTTTCTCTCATTCTTTCTATTGTTTAAGGTCGTGTTGATTTAGAATGACTGACTGAGGAGTTTGATTCGATGAGGCAGAGGAACTAGCCATACCCCACGGTCATTTTACAAATTACACAGTAGGTTGAGTTTATAATAGCCTTCCATTTAAATTACTACTCTTCAGTACAATAACTTCAGCACAATAATAATTGATAATTATTAGAATAGAATATATAATTTATTTATTTATTTGGAATGGCACTAAGTTGTTGTTCATGCTGTACTGGCAGTCACATAGGACTGGAATAGATATTAGCTTAAAATTACCTGGCCCTCCTGAAACATTGTATATGCTTAATATATACTGTGGAAAAGAAATATCCAGGTTCTAAGAGGAGTTGTGCACTTTATTGATAACTGTCTGCTTTTGTGTTGTGAATGCAAATGAGGGTCTGCTGATATCTGGCTTGTCCTTGATAGGCACTTCTTTTCAATTCAGAAGTGAGAGATAAAGAATGATACAAGCCCTGCAATAAATAACCCTATCTCCAATCACTCATAAATGCACAGATTGTGTACAGCACAATCTTTAGTGTGGCACAAGCCTCATTACATCACAGCTTTTTTCCCCCATGAAATACAACACCATCTGGGAGAAAAATAAGAGAAAAATATAATACCATTGTTTTCATTCTACAAAGGACTTGATTAAAGTTATTGATAATGTGATGATAGAAAAAGAAGAAGCCACCCCCGTGAGAACAACTGCAAATCATCATGCATGCAGCTGTGAGATATGAAGGAAAAGGAGCCACTGCAAACCAAGTAAGATGTGCCTTCCTTGAGGACATGCCTTCAACAACTGCTACATTCTTATCAAGTTAATTATGATTCTGAAATGCTAATTAGAACAATGCAGCCCAGATAGGATAAGTCAACAATGTTATAGTGGAAAAATTGATGAGGGTTATATAAAATTTGATTATCTGAATAGTTGGCATCTTTTGTTTGACAGGCGTGTATTATGTGTGGCCAAACATTAAGCAGTGAAATCTACCTGAGAGGCAATCGCTGACCTACACAAAGGTGAGTGCTGTAATGAAGGTATATGTGTGAGTGTCTCAGATATCTGGTCTCTAGATGTGTGACTGCCAGGAGCCAAACACTGTCAGCAGTCTCTCAAAACAGAGAGGCCATATTTCACTAATAAGCATTTCATCACTAACCAAACTCAACTGTCCTGATCAATCAGTTACAGAGGACGATCCCAAGTGGGACACAGAAAGGAAAGGACAGGAGAAGACTATCTCTCTTTGCAATATACCCCCGCCATGTTTGAATGAATCCTGTTTTATAGACGGGTATGTGCGTGTGCACACGTGTGCTCATATCCTGTCTGACGAGAGCAGGAGCAGCTGGGAACCAATGATGGAATCAGCCTGTTGCCATGGAGACCACAGCATCACACAGAATTCCAAGGACAAAGGAATGTCACAATCTAAGGTTGATATTCCCAGACACACGACAGACATGACCTCACACAACTAGTGCCATGAATGAAGACCATCAGCAAATGCACTGTTCTGAGAATCAATGCTTCATGTGGTGAAAGCCCATGTGGAAATAACTTATACACAGCACACTTACGAAATTTCAAACCAGTGAACTTTTTGTCTTTGAAAATGATGGTATATTTTGTTCCAGTTGCCAAGAATTTGGCCTCAACTAAACTCTGAATATCCTCACAAAATCCAGTAACTCGCTGATGTAACCATGTTAAACTGTTACACCAAAATGCTGTTTCATATACATGACCCTACTGATATTTCCCTATATTATATATACTTAATACACTCTTCGGTTCATAAAAATATGGCCCAATATACTGTTAATATGAAGGAATTTTCTATATTGATTGTTCATAGGTGTTTTACCAGTAATCTGAATTACACATTACACTGTGTTGTGGTTTCGGGTTAAAGGAAATGTAGCAATTACCAAAAGAAAATTACCAGTACCTTTTTTTTTTTTTTGAACATGGTAAATTATACACAAACAATAACTGCTACAATCTACCCTTGTATTATATGTATGTTGTAAAGATGCAAGGAAGTTGTACTAGAAAGACTGTTCCTGTTATTTACAAGTAATAATCAACTTAATTTGTTTAATATTTAGCCCAAAATGCATGTCAGTTGTGTCATTTGTGCTCTCAGTCAAAATGAAATATCCACATTAACTGAAGATCTGATAGATTTGAACTTTTATAGCCAGAGCAGCTACTGCTTTAACACCACAGTATTGCATATAGGCTTCTGCAATTTTTTCAGCAGCTATTGCTGATCCTGAACATCTGTGAATATTTGGCCCATGGAGGGAGCTCATTAATAAAAACATGCCTAACACTGAAATAGCACCTGAGACATTGTCATTGCTCTTGCTGTTCAAGCTCCACTGTGTGGACAAAAAAGAAAAGAAAAAAATGGAACCACTGTTCATTTTGGGAACTCAGCCGATGATTTTGCTGTGTCCCAACCCTTCCTTTTAATTGTTCAAATATAATATAATGAGGCAATAATGCATAATCATGCAGTTCAATACAAGTCATTTATGACTTTCTAATTAACAATTTTACAAATCATTTCATATTTCATCCAGGCTTTTGGGCTGCATTAGGCAAATAGAAACAAATCGTCTCTGAATGCATAAAGAAAGAGTGTGGGAATGTGCACAATGATGTGGCTTGTAGTAGTATCAATGTGTGGCCAAATAAGAAGCACAACAGCTACTGTATCACCATTACAGTATGGCACATAGGCTACTACAATCTTTCAGCAGTTGTTATCGTGGATATTTCGCCCCGAGAGGCAATTTAATGTATGAAACCTTTCCACTATAGTGTCTCTTCCCACTGAATGTGACTGGTCTCTCGGGCTGGCGGCAGGCTCTACGTGACAGGTGACCCGCTGCTCTCTAAAGGCAACAGACGGGTCACCAAACATAGCGCTGATTCACTAATCAAGTAAGCCAAAGGAAATTTCGTGACACGTTAATTAGCCATTACGCATTGCAGCTCTTGTGTAGTGTCCAGATTCGGACAGATGCTCGCGGATTTTCCCGTCTGAATGCGCAGCATCAGCAGCTCGAGCATTAAGACACGTGTGTCCGGGGATCACCCGCTTGTGATGATGAAAACATGTTAATACTGACCTGAACCGTACAAGTGTATTCCGAGTCGTCCAACAGTCGCACCGTACAGCTGAATTCCCTGTCAAGACTCCGCTCGCTGCCACTCATCAGTCGGCTCAACATTTTGGCCAGTCAGTACAGACGCACGAGCGTTTAGGACGAGCGCAACATGTCACTCACTGCAGACATGCCAGACAGACCCTTTTCGGTGTTCAGAAGCCCTTTTGAGTCATTGCTCCCCATCATTATCCTTTGGACTGGACGGTGTGGTCTCCTCTGCCGTTGGTGGTTTTATGCCAACGTTGGAGGTAGTCCAATGCACTGAATAGACTCAGGCACAACAGCCCATCCATATTCATGCATTATTTCTGGGGAGGGCTGAGGCGGAATGTATTCATAAACTGGAAGGCAGTGAGAGTCGATGTACATAACTGTTTAGATGGAGATAGATTTGTTTTCTGGAGAATCATTAGCACTTATTAAAAATCTGAGAAAGAACACCATGATAGCACACAACGTTGAGAAAATAAAAGAGAATTAAAGTTTATTTTACATTTACATTGTTGGTGTCAACAGTTATGAGGGTCTTGTGCAAAAGAGGTATTTTCTGATTAAAACTTATTATATTATTTTCTGATACATTCCCCCCCCCCTCCGGAATGAATGATGTCTCAAAATATTTCTCAAAATCACCAGCTTAAATAAATATATAACAGTATTCCATGTTGGTGAAAGGCTTATTTCAAATGCAAACGCTGCTCTACTTGGCATCAAGTTGGCATCTTCTTATCCATCGCTTTGATAAGCCTATGTCTGTGATTATGATATTATGATGACTCATAAAATCAATTCGAAACTTTGTTTTTTAATTAGTCAATTAACACAAGGCAGGAGTATAAACAACTCAATTTATGGTATTAATTACACAATAAATCAATAGATGTCACAAATCAATTCGTCTTCCTGTGCTGAGGTATACAAAATAAGATATGGTTGTAACAAATATCCAAAGAACATGTAATGTGCCTATAAAACAGCTTTTGAATTGCACATTAAGTAGATGTTTCAGTTAGAGTCAAAAAAATATGTGCAAGCCCTTGTTCCATATCCTCAAAGTAACTTAAGAGTTGAGAAAAAAACAGTAATGGTGTGACAGGATTTATAATTAAAAAGAAAATTATACATTTTTAAATAACCATTTCATTTTTTGCCAGATATATCTACATACATAAATTATTCACCATGGATTTTTCCCTTTTGAATGTGGGATAAACAAAGAAGGGCTTTGCTAAACAGAAAAACATAGGTTCAATACAGTCATTCATTATTATATTGACATAATTACCAAAACACAAACCACCAAAACTATTCTTCCTTTTCTAAATAAAGTGTATGTTAAGACATATGCATTTAAAGTGCACATATTTAAAGTGGACAAAGTAGAAATTTCACAAAACACCATTAGTACAAACAAAAAACATTAAGAGATGCCAGAATAATGGTGCAGCAGGTCAGTTTCTATTACTGCAATTGTGAGTAATGTACATAGAGGCCAATTTGAATATACTACACAAGATATTGAACTCTGCATAGCATTTTAGTGCATTACTCTATAATTAAGGCATTTTGTTTGACAGAGGTAATTTTTGGTTGGTTGTAGGCATCAGTCAAGCTTGTTTTAAGAGGATCAGACTGATTAATCAGCTGATTAATGGAGAGAAGATGGCAGACTAGAAACCTAGGTCTATGTGCTGGTGGCAACATTGGCTTTCTTCTCATTGAAGAAACTCTTAAGCATAAGCACCTGGCCAATACAGACCACAAACAGGATGATGGTCTCCCCAATGGACCAAAAGTGCACACGTTCACTCAGGTCTTCAGCCCTGATACGGTCCTGAGCCTCCCGAAGACGATACCAAGTCTGAGAGTCTGAAACCACTTTCAGGATCTCATGGATAGACAGGCAGGCTGACTCCATCTGCATGATTTATTCAGAGGTTCACATCAAATGCATATATGCACAGTGCATGCTATGTATGATTGCATGCTGTTTGTGTTTCTCACCTGTGTGAGAGCTGTTACTCTGTTCATGTCAGGCATTAATCTGTCATCCTCTCCAGTTCTGAAGTCCAGATAAACAGTTTTGTGAGAGAAGGTTGAGAACTCATTGCTAAAGCAGACCTTGTACACTCCCTTCATGGTTGTTGTATGGGAAAAGCTGTCATATTGCTTTTTTCGTTCTTGATACAGCAGATTATTCAGTGGATCTGTCACAAAACAGTCAACATCATAGTTTCCTCCAGCAATAACCTGTATGGAAAGAAAAGTACTGATATTAGGAATATGGCATACATGGTATTTTCAATTGTTTAACAATGTTTTATCAGTGTTGAACAAAGTTTAACAGGTTCTTAAACCAGAAAACCATGGTGATCTCTGTTTGTGCTCCATACAACTGGAAAATATTCAACAACTTGGAAAGCAAAAGATAAATAATCCACCAACACTGCAAAAAATAAATAAATAAAATAAATAAATAAATAATCCACAAGCAAGTTTTGTTAAAAGCAGCTGTCGGCACAATTACCTGAAAGTCTACATCAAACTTTGCTCCTTGCTCTAGGTCCTCGTAAAAGCATTGTTTCTCGTTATCGGGCAATTCAAAAGTTAATTCGGTGGCATTTGCAACGGCTATATACACAGCCAAAATTAAAATAAAAGGGTATCTCATGGTGTTTATTTGGGGGAAAAAATGAAATTATTATTTAAAATTCACAGAAAGTCTCCTCCGTTGAGCTACAGCTGATTTGCTGAACCTTCTCAGGCACTTGACAGCTTCAAGCTAAACACCACTGACGTGGCAGGAGGACAGGATACTTCCGGGTTATTTGCCCCTTTTCAAAATAAAGATTATTTCCGAAATTACAAGTCAAGGATTTATCCAGAGGCAACAGACAGGTTTTTTAATTAAAAATGATGATCCGATCATGCGAAATAATACCAAAAGTAGCATCTTGTAATATATTGCACGTGTTATAAGGTAACGTTATTGCATTAATTCTATTCATGTTCCTTGCTGAGGTGTCCGTGCACTGTGGACAGTTACCAGTAGATGGCAGTGCACGATGGTTAGCATTTTAGCACTTCCGGTTCCATCGTCCCAGAGTCAATGGGTTTTTTGAATGGGATTTTGGTTAAATCCCTAAAATAAGGTCCGTGGTTCACACAGGCTCAAGATACTTTCACGTTTTATTCTACGACATAAAACACACCAGTTACACCCCACTCGTGAATTTTTTTATACTGTTACGTTTCTTTAAAAAGATGGTTGCTAACAAGTTGCTAAATGGGACTACAGGCGCTGTCGGAGACATATAACGTCTTCACGCCGAACAGTTTATCAGTTTACAGTATTTTCCAGTCGTAGTATAATTTGTAATACAATTAATTGTAGAATAACCAATTAATAGTTTCCCGCATTTTATATTGTTGGTCGACGATGTTTTTTTTGTTTTGCCCCGAAATGCAACACAAGTCTTCGGATAAAAGATGCTGGTTTTATCGCTTCCCCGCTGATGCGGAGACTCTGGGTTTGTACCATAAGGTAAACTCATATTACGTTTACTCCATGTAAACACCACATTTACCGGCTTAGTCATGGGGAAAGTGAAACTTTAACGATGCATAGTGCTTAAAGCCACATTAAATTTAAATGTTTACGGCCACATGAAGCTGTTAGAAAGCATATGAGGATTTCCTAGAAGCAAGGATAAAATAACATTTTGTGTACCCATCCTAACAAAATGATAGCTGAAATGTGGTACTTTATTCACTGAAATAAGTTTAATCTTACCATATCCAAAAAACGCGCTCACTCTGCTGTTATTTAATAGATTAAATGCACTAAAATGTAATTGAATAGTAGGTGGAGACACGTTTTTAATTAAAATATTAATATTAATGAATAAGGATTTATTGACTTTTAATGCACCTTATTTCAAAATGTACGGAATACGTGCTTTCATATGTCTTCATACTGAACACGTTAAAAATAAGTTTGAAAAAGTTGTGGGAAGCCTGGTGGTGGTGACGCTGAAGGCGAGCGACCGTGGTGTAGTTCGTTTATAGCCTAAGTTTAGCTTTTAAGTTCTGGCGCCGGCGCGATCAAACAACCCGCAAAGAGTTAAAAAAAAAAAAAAACTAACACTAGCTTCTCTATTCTTTTTGTATTCTATATATTTATTTTTTTTTTATTTATTATACAATTAACAAAAGCAAAAAAGGAATCTAACACTTTCTATTCTATGTGTTTTCTTTTTATTTATTAGGCCTATGTAATTAAAAAAAATACCTTGCTTCGTGTACTACGTTAAGCTGAGATTTCTTATAGCACTTGCGTATCGTTGTTCTTTAGTTGATTTTGATTGCTTCCATTGTCCTCATTTGGAAGTCGCTTTGGATAAAAGCGTCTGCTAAATTACTAAATGCAAATGTTTACTTTTATTTTTGCACAGCTCGCAATAAAAAGAACATTTGTGTTTTTGTATTTAAGCAAACAAACAGGATGCGCGTTCTGTCATCTCGGTTCTGGTTTCCTTTCCGTGAACTTGTTTGCGGATCGCCGAGCCTCACATCTGTTTTATATCTGTTAATTATTTATTTCAGATATATTTCGCATATGCATACCTTTTGTATTTAGATTATGATTGTATTTTATTTTTATGGAAACGAATTTTGTTATTTTTAATGTAACTTACATATATTAAATCATCCTGGCGACCAATTTTTGACCCAGGGTTTGAAAACCTAGGCTGTATAGTTAGGTCCATGCAGAAACTTGTGAACGATGCTCTTAGATGGGACACACTAGTGTTGTAAAAACACAAGTGTTTACAGAGTTGTATTATTATTTCCAATACTTTGCATTTTAAAATCAACTTCTAAATGTCTACTCAGTAGGCTAGTCCCTATAATAGGTGACACAATTTAATTAAGTGATAAAAAGCAGTTGCAAATGTTGTACAAAAATAAATATACTAATCTTTGCAGCAATAAAATGTGTAGCACTTTGTTTTACTAATTATATGTAATATCTTGTTATTATTATTATTAATAATCTTTAACTTACATTGGAAAGGTTTCCGTGACCTCTCGCGTCTTGCGCACTTACTTTCTGTCGCGCGCACGTGCTCTCAAGTGGCCAAGACCACATGTGTGGGTATTTGGACAAGGCAAGGGTCGGTCCCGGCCCCTTTTAACTGCTGATTTGGATCTGGCCATGTTTAATTTACAAATTAAGCACTGGACCAAACAAAGCGGTTTCCAGTACATACACTAGGTGGTCTACACTTTATTGGTAAACGTTTTAATAATCTGATAGCTCTATGGAGTGTAGAGTCAAAAACTGCGGTACATGAAGTGTAATCTGGACACAAAAGGCAATTTAACAAAAACTATATCCTTGAACACTTATTAGCCTAGTTTACTTTACAAGTTGAAGTCTTAAAGGGAATCTTCGTATTTATATTTTGTCTTTCACCTTTTCGCTATGATTTCTGAAATATTATTTGTTTAATGTTGAATAACCAAACAACAACAAATTGACACTTGCTTATTGTGATCCTAAATATTTGATTTTCCACACACACACACAGTCTTTAAAAGGTTGCCCTTTCTAATCACTCTGTTATTTTTTCATTGACTAAAAAGAAAAATGATCTAGATCCTTAAACTTTGGCATGTAGCACAAGGTTATGTACACAAGCACGTGCTCTTCCACGTTTCATTCTCTCGCCTGAATAGAAAGTCTCATGAAATACACAACCAAACACAAATACAATGACCTTATAAAGACAATGTAAGTGGCACTGTGCCACGGACAGTTTTGTCAGTACTTACTAAGGCACGTGTTTTCAAACATTTTAGGATCCGCAAATATGATTGCATATGGGACTTTTTTCTAATAAAGACTATATTTTCATGCATAAAATCCCGTATCCTGTGTGACAAAAACAAACATGGAAAATATTTACTTTGATTAAGTTGACAGTGTATTTTTTTCTACCCACCACTCTATATGATATCCTGGTCTTAAAATAAAGGCCAGGGGCACCTCTGTCAGTCTATTTTATCGCAGATAAGTCAGACTGTAAGCCAACACCCCTTAACAGTAAACATTTATTATGAAACTACTGATGAATGTTGTTTCTGCGTATTCCACAGCCGCATTTTTACAGTCAACAATCGGACTTTATTTTGAAATTCGAGACTGGAGCACGTTCTCCACTCTGTTTACACCGAAGTAAGTACACTTTTCCTGTGCAACGTTAGTGGGCGAAGGCGTCATGGCGAAGGAAAGACGCCGTGGCGGGTTTGGCGACGACTGTGGTGTGAATGAAGAGAATGACGGAAGTAGCATAGAAGAAGAAGATGATTTTGCAGATTTGAATTGTGGAGAGTGGAATCAGGTAGAGCTGACATCTCAGAAACGGAAAGATAGAGGCTCAGATTCGGAAGAAATCGGGGGAGAAGGAGGAAGGAGTAAAACAATGCGGACGGAGGATGAGTACAAGGTTATGTTTACATTCGCAACAATGGGAGAAATGAGTAATCCTATGCGATTAACCAAGGTTCTCAAAAAAGTATTTTTTTTTTTTACAAATAAAGCTTCATGTTATGAGAAGGATACTTTCTACGACCTTTATCCTGCAGTCATGGTGAGATTATAGATTCCTTCAATCTAAAAAAAAAATCAAAAAAGAATAGAAAACAACAGTGAGGAATCGATTCCAGAACCAGGAATCGGAATCGGACTCGATTCCAAAAATCTCGAATCGAACAGCCCTAGTAATGATGCTGGAGTAATGTTGCACCTGTACCGGTAGGTGTCGGGATCTTTGTTCTGCGGAGATGGCTGGCTGGGGGAGTCTGTCGCAGCAAAGCCCGCTTGGACGGCAAAACTGTTCTGATAACGGGAGCCAACACTGGTATCGGTAAAGAGACAGCGGTGGACATGGCCAAGAGAGGTCAGTTCATTTTAATGCAGCTCTAAAGATGTTATTTTAAAGTACTGGTTGAACTAGCATTATATCAGGAGTATATATAGTAGCAAGCCTATTTTGTGATATTAATGTATTATAGGGATGTCCAAGATGATAAAAATCATAGCCTCTTAAATCAAGTTTGAAAACACGTTATGGGGTTAGTCCATCAGATTTTCACTAAAAAGTATGTGATATTAAAACGACTTAATGACAAAAAAAAAAAAAAAAAACTTAATTTGTTTTTTTTTGTTGTTGTTTTTTTGCAATCTCTAGACAGTTACACCACTTAGGCATATCTGATGTTAAACTCCACAAAAGTGAGTTTTATAACATGTTCAATATTTAAAAAAAAAAAAAAAAGAAGAAGAAGAAGATCCAGACACCAAATGAGCATCACATCAATGTCCCTAATAGCAATGCAGATGGAAATTCTGTTCTAGCATTTCACAAACAGGCTGGTTAGATGATTTATGGAGGCTCTATATTACTAACTTAATTGATATTTATACCGAAAGGATGATAAATCCACATTGGGGATGATGAAACGGGTTTAATTATGCAGTCCATCACTTATCAACCCAAACTAACATGGCCCAGTTTGTAATTCTTAGGCTAATGACGCACCTTCATGGTTAGAAACGTCTGTCATCACCAAGATCATGCATAAGAGCCTTGTAGTACTGTTGTATTTGTTGAAGGCTTGATGGTTGGTCATAACAAGTTCATAAACCTCCATTGTTCAGGTGCAAGGGTGATCCTGGCTTGCAGAGACATGGGCAGAGCCAACAGAGCAGCAGATGAGGTCAGGAAGAGGAGTGGAAATGGCAATGTGATTGTGAAGATGCTGGATCTGGCCTCCTTGCAGTCTGTCCGAGCTCTGGCCAAAGATGTACAGCAGACTGAGGAGAGACTGGATCTTCTCATTAATAATGCTGGTAAGGAATGTCAGCCAGATTATAACGCATGAACACATGGTTGATATATATTTATTTAAATGAAATATATTTAAACAATATGTATTTATATATTTATTTGCATTTTTTTTTCTTTCTGTGAACAGGGATAATGATGTGTCCACAGTGGAATACAGAAGATGGCTTTGAGATGCAGTTTGGTGTGAACCACCTGGGTCATTTCCTGCTTACCAACTTACTTCTGGACTTGTTGAAGAAATCAGCACCCAGCCGTGTTGTCAATGTTTCCAGCCTGGCCCATGAGACAGGTGTGGAGGCCCATATGTTTTTATGTGTGAATTAGTCATAACGAAACACTGAATTTTCTAAATTATTGCAAGCAGTGATTGTACTCCTTATCCAGTTCCCTGACAAGATGCTCTGTTTTGACAAAATGACAGTTATAGTGTTTAAACACTGTAGGGCATAAAATATACATAAACACATAAAAAATACATAATTCTGATTGTAATGTATTATATGTATCATTTACAATGTAAACACGTTTAAAGTGTTTATGAGGAACATTCAGTATTTGGATTCCTTATAATATTTCAAATGATTTTCTGTTGGACAGGCAAGATTCATTTTGATGATATAAACCTGGAGAAAAACTATGATGCACACACAAGTTATCAACAGAGCAAGCTGGCAAATGTTCTGTTTACCCGGGAACTAGCTGTCAGACTGAAAGGTAAACTATAGACCTGAAACAGGTTAGATGCTATATTGAATTTAACGTGGATAAAAATGAGACTGTAAGGTCTGAAAAATGAGACTGTACTGTATAAATGTCCTAGATCATATCATTTTCACAACTCACAAACTCAGAACTGTTTAATAGATTATTTATATATGAAGTTTTTTTTTTTCTGAAAGACGTTTGATCAGCTAAACATTTGGCATACTGTTAAACAACAGTACAGTCCATTGAATGCGCTGTACTTCACAGCCTATCCCTCACAGCCTTGTTGTCATTCCTGTCAAAAATTAAATATGGCGCTACCCTGACTAAGGTCTATCATGAAAACTTTCTCACTCTTACAGTATTGAAACATCACAATGTCACATCTACACACATGCACACTCTCAAACACGCTGCTTTCAAACTCTCTCCCTTTATATCATTCAGGCACAGAAGTGACAACTTACGCTCTTCATCCTGGGGTGATCCATACTGAGCTGGGCCGACACTTTCTCCCCGCTCTGCCTCTATGGAAAAGGCTTTTGTTCTTGCCCTTTTTTTTCTTTGTCAAAACCCCTTGGCAGGGTGCGCAGACCACCATCTACTGCTCAGTGAATGAGAGTCTGCAGAATACTAGCGGACTTTACTACAGGTCAGTAGCTTTTTCTATCACATGTGTTAAATGTAATATAGTAAGATTTTGCTCATCAAGGCCTATGAGAGGTGTACACAAACTTTCCAAAGTTAGAATTATTAAATATGTATCACCTCTCCCATGACATAATATACTGCCACCAAATTGTAGCACGTTGATGACAAACTTGTGACAGCGATCTTTGTTTTACAATGGATGCCATCGTCATTTAATAAGTTCAAAATGAAAACATAAACTGTTTTCACCACTTTTTCACATAGTGTTCTCAGACCATTGCTGTTCAATTATGATAATTTCAGGCTGTGGTTAATTTCTCTTTTGGTGGTTTTACAGTGATTGTGCACCCAAAGAGGCAGCTCCTCAGGGTAGAGATGATACTGCAGCCCGCAGACTGTGGGATCTCAGTGCTTCTATGGTGGGCCTGGCTTGAGACAAGACCTTGCCCCGTGAAAATCACTCTCTTCATTTAAAAATCAGTTTGTCACATTTCCTGTGTAGATTGTACATTTCAAATTTGCAGACTATTAAATCTGCTACTTTATATAAAGTACTGAGAGCCAGTTTAAGAATGTAGCAAAGTAGTGTTTCGGTGTGCAGGATGAGGCTGGCTCTGTAACAAAGTGCCTATGCAATAAGATGAACTGCAATATGAAGTGTGAATTTCAGCATTAAATAATTAGTGAGATGTTATATACTGTAATGCCATTAGCCATTGTGCATAGCATAATTAGACATTTAATCTACCTTTTAAAAATAGATTTCATTGTTAGTACTTATGTAGTTTGTTACCATGTATCACAATAAAATTGTGTAATATGAATTTAGGTTAACATTTCAATAAAGCCTATTTTTGAATAATGAAATAAAGACAATGAATCATTACCCTCTATAAAATGAGTTTATGGTAAAGGTAAAGAGCATTTTATAAAAGCTGTAGCACAACATGAGCAGGATTTTGGAATACATTTTGAGTTTTTAAAATTCCCTTACATAAACAGTTTGTTTGAAATCTCATTGTAAATAAGCACATTTAAAACATTACACTTTGATATTGTTTTCATTAAGTGACAAGCATGATTGTCATCAAATGATAATCAAGTCTGTATTAAGAAGAGTAACAAATACTTTACCAATTTGCAAAGTTCCTCAATCTAAAAACTACTTCTAACTTGGGGCGATTAATATTCTATATTTGGTAAAGCCAAAACAGATTGAAAGTACAATGTCAAGTTTACACAGAGATATACTGTACATAAAACCTGCATTTTGGAATCACTATTATAAAATATTTAATTTATGGTCACATTAATGAATACATGATTAAAATTAATTCTCTTTGGGGCTATAATTTAGATGTACAAAACTCAAACATGATTGTTATATATATATATATATATATATATATATATATAAAGATATGACATGAAATGAGTAAATTATGCAGCTTCAGCAGTATCTGGAAAAAAATAAAGTATATCATATATGATTTAGTAAACATTTAAAAATAATACTGATTTAAACATATTAACAACTATCAGTTATTAAGTCACTAACATTCACAAATGTGCAATCACCAACGCACCCTGACCTGAGTGCCCAGCGGGTACAAAGCTGTATGTGTCAGCCACATGCCCTTATCAGTTCTCCGTCCAACAGATTCAGCATCTTTAGCTGGGCTGGAAAAGTGATAAGGAGATGTGAGCGACCATTTGTACATATACTCAACAGTCCTATTGAGAACTCCCATTGCTTCCATACAAAACTCAGGCACAAGCTCCCACCTGCTCTGTCCAGCTTTATTCTTTTAGCCAAAGGAACATCAAATGAGTCTTCATGACATGTCTCCCCATATTCAGTAGGTAGCTGCAGCTGAGATTACCAGGTCCGGGCGGGAAGAAGACATCTGTGATTTTTCCAGTAGCTTTCGACCAGGATGAGTCTAAGTCCGTCTTCCACAAACCATCGTTTTGAGGCAGGAGGTTTGCATGGTATAGCACAGCCTCACAGTCTGTACGTATGCCACTGTGGAGACACACCCCACAGATGAGTTTTATTTCCTCTCCACCCCACCTATCTGCACGTCAACCTTGACATGCTATTCGTTCACATTTGGGGATCATAGGTCAAACCCCTTCAGCGGCCAAAAGAGGGTGTTTATTTGTTGTTTGCACTGTTAGTCCTGATCAAATCAGCCAATGAAAAGGGAAAGGCCATGTTTGGTAGGTGTGTTCATCCCAGGTGTGACTGAAATGAACATTCCAGTCTTCACATACCTGTCTGCCCATCTCTTCTTCTGTTCCCCTGGCTGCAACACACCCTCTTCAGACAAGAGACAGAACACTTCCTGCTGTAGGTTTTATGGGTTTTCACCTGCCAAAATCACTCAGCCTCACTTGTCACCTAATGCTTAGTAAGAGATAAAGAGATAGGAAATGTGTTTAATGACAGAGTTGTTTTACAAAACCAAGAGGAGAACCATTTTAAAGGCTTAAAGCTTTTGCTCAGTTTTACTGTACAGCATCTCACATGCACACTAACTTCCTCCATGCAGTTCTTTGATATTTAGGCCCTTAAATGATAGTTCACACAAAAAAGTAAATTCTGTTATTTTTACTCACCCTCATGTCATTCCAAACCTATATGACTGTCTTTCTTCTGCTGAACACAAAAGAGAATATTTTGAATAATATTTTTGAACTGTTTTTGTCCATATTATAAAAGTCACTGCGGTCAAAGCAACATTGGACTGCTTGACTTTCATTGACAAAAAAAACACTGAAACATTTTTCAAAATATGAAATTTTCAAAACAGAATTTCCATTTTTTGTGAACTATTCCTTTTACGGGTGCAAGCAGTAACGCACTGTTGGCTCTGAGCAATCAACATCACATTAAATTTCCCCACGCACAGACATACCGCTGGATGTATTAGGGTGTTTGTGTGTTTGTCATTGTACGCATGTGCCCCAAGGTGATGTGGGAATGCAGGTTTGTAGCATTACAGGCAATACAAACTCAATCTACAGCTTCTGCCTAAGACGAGTTAAAACAAGTAAAACGCTTAATCATCCCTCAATGTGACTAAGAACTTATCACTTGCAATCATGTGTAATGGATGTCAGAGACATAAGAAATATAACACTTATATCTGGCTCAAAACACAGACACGCAAAGATGCACACATTCACATATTTTAACGCACACCAGGGAGGTGGCCAGACAGCTGTCCAAAAAATTAAATCATGCTGATCGCTCAATGACTCAACAAATGCTTCACACACAGGACATGGTGCATTGGTTTAGTTCTAAGACAAAAATAAACTTAATCTTTAAAGCTCATAGTTAATAAATGCCCATAAAAGGCAATGATTTTTTTAGTTTCTTAAATAGCATGATATTCTTTTAAAAAAAAAACATTTTGCGGGGGTGTGGGAGGGGGGGATATTTAAAGACATAGTCTTGCCTATAAGCAGGTTTATGGTTTATATGCAGTTATATATAAGGGGAACTTTTGGAGATCTGTAATGAATATATTAATATGAAATATATATATATATATATTTTTTTTTTCTTTTCAAATTCATATATTCATTACAGATCTCCAAAAAAAATAAAAATAAAATTATATATATATATATATATATTTTTTTTAAAGGAAGTAAAAC